ACACACACACACATGCGAACACACCCACAAAAAAGCATATATCCCGGCAAAGCAACCTAGCAGCGATGTGTAGGAGCATATCTGGAAGCATTCCTCTTAAAATTCATGAGAATCCAGTTGTAGAATGCTGCTGTTCTCGCAGACGTAGTCGCATTCGCGATGACAGTCGCAGCGGCAACGGCAGTCGCAGTCACAGCCTCAGCCTCAGCCTGCCTCAGCCTCAGCCTCTGCCTGCCTCAGCCTCAGCCTGCCTCAGCCTCAGCCTCAGCCTGCTTCAGCCTCAGCCTCAGTCTGCCTTCAGCCTCGGCCTCAGCCTCAGCTTGCCTCAGCCTCAGCCTGCATCAGCCTCAGCCTCAGCCTCAGCCTGCCTCAGCCTCAGCCTCAGCCTGCCTCAGCCTCAGCCTGCCTCAGCCTCAGCCTCAGCCTGCTTCAGCCTCAGCCTCAGTCTGCCTTCAGCCTCGGCCTCAGCCTCAGCCTGCCTCAGCCTCAGCTTGCATCAGCCTCAGCCTCAGCCTCAGCCTGCCTCAGCATCAGCCTGCCTCAGCCTCAGCCTCAGCCTGCCTCTGCCTCAGCCTCAGCCTGCTTCAGCCTCAGCCTCAATCTGCCGTCAGCCTCGGCCTCAGCCTCAGCCTGCCTCAGCCTCAGCCTGCATCAGCCTCAGCCTCAGCCTCAGCCTGCCTCAGCCTCAGCCTGCCTCAGCCTCAGCCTAAGCCTGCTTCAGCCTCAGCCTCAGTCTGCCTTCAGCCTCGGCCTCAGCCTCAGCCTGCCTCAGCCTCAGCCTGCATCAGCCTCAGCCTCAGCCTCAGCCTGCCTCAGCATCCGCCTGCCTCAGCCTCAGCCTCAGCCTCAGCCTGCCTCAGCCTCAGCCTCAGCTGCTTCAGCCTCAGCCTCAGTCTGCCTTCAGCCTCGGCCTCAGCCTCAGGCTGCCTCAGCCTCAGCCTGCATCAGCCTCAGCCTCAGCCTCAGCCTGCCTCAGCATCAGCCTGCCTCAGCCTCAGCCTCAGCCTGCCTCAGCCTCAGCCTCAGCCTGCTTCAGCCTCAGCCTCAGTCTGCCTTCAGCCTCGGCCTCAGCCTCAGCCTGCCTCAGCCTCAGCCTGCATCAGCCTCAGCCTCAGCCTCAGCCTGCCTCGCATCAGCCTGCCTCAGCCTCAGCCTCAGCCTGCCTCAGCCTCAGCCTCAGCCTGCTTCAGCCTCAGCCTCAGTCTGCCTTCAGCCTCGGCCTCAGCCTCAGCCTGCCTCAGCCTCAGCCTGCATCAGCCTCAGCCTCAGCCTCAGCCTGCCTCAGCATCAGCCTGCCTCAGCCTCAGCCTCAGCCTGCCTCAGCCTCAGCCTCAGCCTGCTTCAGCCTCAGCCTCAGTCTGCCTTCAGCCTCGGCCTCGGCCTCAGCCTCAGCCTGCCTCAGCCTCAGCCTGCATCAGCCTCAGCCAGCCTCAGCATCAGCCTGCCTCAGCCTCAGCCTCAGCCTCAGCCTGCAGCCTCAGCCTCAGCCTCAGCCTGCTTCAGCCTCAGCCTCAGTCTGCCTTCAGCCTCGGCCTCAGCCTCAGCCTGCCTCAGCCTCAGCCTGCATCAGCCTCAGCCTCAGCCTGCCTCAGCCTCAGCCTGCCTCAGCCTCAGCCTCAGCCTCAGCCTGCCTCAGCCTCAGCCTCAGCCTGCTTCAGCCTCAGCCTCAGTCTGCCTTCAGCCTCGGCCTCAGCCTCAGCCTGCCTCAGCCTCAGCCTGCCTCAGCCTCAGCATCAGCCTGCCTCAGCATTCAAAATGTGGCCCGGGAATGGAGTTCTGGGAACTCGAAGAACACGAAGTGGCCTACAGTTGGCTCCGGGCATTCAAAATCATGCCCAGGAATGGAGTTCTGGGAACTCGAAGACCACGAAGTGGCCTACAGTTGGCTCCGGGCATTCAAAATCATGTGGAATGGAGTTCTGGGAACTCGAAGACCACGAAATGGCCTACAGTTGGCTCTGGGCATTCAAAATCATGCCCAGGAATGGAGTTCTGGGAACTCGAAGAACACGAAGTGGCCTACAGTTGGCTCCGGGCATTCAAAATCATGCCCAGGAACGGAGTTCTGGGAACTCGAAGACCACGAAGTGCGTTACTGTTGGCTTAAAAAAAGTCCCCGGATTCCCGGGGCACCCGTCCGGCATCTGCCCAGACCCCCCTGGGGAGTCATGATGCTCTCTTTTGACCCCACTAGAAACCTATCAGTCTTCGCTGTTAGGTAAAAAAACACGCACACACACACACGCACGCGCACACGCACGCGCACACGCGCACACGCGCACATGCACACACACACACGCACACACGCGCGCGCACGCACACACACACACACACACGCACACACCCGCGCGCACGCACACACACACTCTCACACACACACACACGCACGCACGAACGCACGCACGTACGCACGCACACAAACACACACACACACACCGCCACCACCACCACCACCACCACCACCACCACCACCTTTACCACCACCACCCACCCACCAACCCAGCCAGCCCCCCTCCCCACCCCCCCACACAAACACATTCACACACACACACACACACACCGCGTGTCTGATCAAGGCAACTCGTCTTAGCGTCGTTTCTGGATGGTCTTGTGGTGGTACGCACAACGTCTAGAATACTCAATCCGTGTTGACGTGCCCTCCACTGTACTGATACGATGTCTAATGTCGCATTCTCTCTGATCTGGTGCGCATGTCCTCCCTGCACCTAGCCGGGGTGGCCTGGCTGCGGTCCTCGCTTGTGCATGCCCCATTGCTGGGCCACGCCCGTCGAGCCGCACGCATGCTCTCCCTCCTCCAACCCTTTCCTTCCTGTTATTCTCATCAGCGTCGAAAGAGATCTATATGTGCTCAGCTGGTGGCGTCGTCTCCCCTCATCTGCGCAAGAGCGGTCGCTCGTCCATCATGTTCTGGAATCTCTACCGCCCGTCACCTCTTTATCACCCTACTTGTTTAGTGCCTAGTCTTGATGCTTGTCTGGCTTGTCTGGCTTGTCCAAAAAGTAATTCGATGCCGTGCGCGGTGCCAATTCAGTCCCGTCGAGGGCATCCCCCATGGTTACGTAGTTTCCTTGCGCGTTCCATCCCGTGGCCGCCAATACGTTCCGCCCCAGTATGTTTTGCAATACTGGTGATGCGACGTCCTCGTCCTTCCCCTTCTCCGCCGCTCTGGCCCTCATCCCCATCCGCCTGCCTACCTAGCTTCTCGGGGTCTAGTACCATCCACGTCAATTACACCAGGGTCCCCCACAGGGGCTAAGCGCTCCGCTTGGCAGCTTTTCTGCAATATCTGGGCGTCCACTGCTTGTCCGATTCGAGGCTACCTCTGATGTCGGCATCTACTGGGAGCTGGTCCTGCACGTCAATTTGGTCCCTATACTCATGTCCATGCCCCCCCAGTTCAATCTGTTGCGCAGCCATTCCTCCCTTTTTGTTGATGCTTCTGTTATCCCGTGATCCATGTTTCGATTTCCCAGCGAGGTCTTCGCCGCAGAATACTTGTGTTGGGAACCTCTCCCGTTTGTTCTGTGATGATGTATTCTCAGCTCGCGCATGCTGCTGAAGTCGATTCTTTGATGGGCTTCCCAGATCTTCTCCACGATTTCCACCCCTTCAGCGTCTCCCCTAAGTTGCTTCAAAAGGGCGGTGGCAATTGCCCACTCTTCCTTCACTCGAACCCGGGTCCTCCTCGGAAATCCACTCCCCCATCCATTGCACAGGCTGCGGCCCAGACTACAAGAGGAGGAGGGAGGAGGGGGGAAGAGGAGGAGGAAGAGGAAGAGGAGGAGGCGTTTTTCTTTCCAGGGAGGGAGGGGGAGAGGAGGAGGAGGGAGGGGAAGAGGAGAAGGAGGAGGAGGCGTTTTTCTTTCCAGGGAGGAGGAGGGAAGGGGGGGGAAGAGGAGGAGGAGGAGGAGGGGGAGGAGGAGGAGGAGGAGGAGGAGGAGGAGGAGGAGGGGGGGAGGAGGAGGCGTTTTTCTTCCCAGTGGGGGGGAGGGAGGAGGCGCACCCGAGGCGCGCCAGGGGCCCCTTCCGGGAGGGCGGGCCCGCCGCGAGGCCGAGATGCGGGAGGAGGCCAGAGGGCAGCAGGAGCCTTTTTCTATCCGCGATAAGGGGCGTGATCGGGGAGGGGGCTTGTGGATGCCGTGACAATGGACACTGTAACAATCCTATCATTGAATCAAAGATGTGTTCAGAAAGTGTAAACGTGATTAAACTACATGTAATGCGATCGGACCGACCGTCCGGCATTCCCATCGGCCTACCACGAATTGTCCTTAGAACCCAGAAGCGCTGCAATAACAAAAACAATGTTCTTAGACCATAAACCCGATGTGCCAAAACAAGACAGCCCCAGCCAGAAATGTCCTAAGAACATGTCGTGGGAACCACAAGAGTTCTTAGAGCATTGCTTCGTAGGACTATAGGCACGCCAGGACGCTTCGCCACTGCTTGACGGTGGGGGGGTGGCCCCCCCGATCGCATCACGGCGGGTTTCGGCCTCCCGGGGCCTTTTTCGAACCCCCGGGCCCGCGGGCATGCACCTGAGGTACATGCCCGCGGCGAGCTGGTGGAAGCTGATGACAACCACCGCGCTCGCGAAGAGCAGCCGCCCCGGCCGGCCGCGAGCGGCGCGGCGGCCAAGAGGACGAGGCCGCCCAAAAAAATGAGCATGCTCAGCAGCGAGGGACCGTAGACTCCGCATTCCACTCCCCGTCCTTCTTCACCAGGCACTCTCAATTGCGAAGCCCGACTGTGCCCAGCGTGGCGCGAACCTCCGCCCCAGTCATGTTCCGAAGAAGGGTGCCCGTATCCAACTGCTGCTGGATCTCCGGGCGGACCCGAGAAGCCTCCGCAGCCACGCGATCATAACCACGAGCGGCAGGGCCGCTCGAGAGCCCAGGGGTAGCACCACCAGCAGGGAGGCCACCGTCTTGAAGAAAGAGATTCTGCTCCAGGCGCTGACGAACACCATCAGTGCGCTCATGACCACCACGATCAGGAAAAACATGACTGTCCAGGGGCTCGGGCTTTCGTTTCTTCTTCCGCTTATCGACAATATCATGAACGCCTCCCTTCCTAACGTCACTATGATGGACTCCATGCAGCACCGGCGGCCGATGCAGTCCAGGGAAGTTCTTCACGACGGAAGGCTTCCCCGCATCAGCATGCCCAGAGTCGCGACCCCGAGGGGCACCATCCGAGCGACCATCTCCAGCAAAAAGGGCACCAGCAGGCACCTCGCCATGAAAACCTGGACCACCACGTACCTCTCGGCAGCCCTCAACTCGGCCAGGAAGCACTTAACCGAGGAGATCCGCACAATCAGGTCGGCCTAGAAGGAGCAACTCACCAGGACGATCTGCAACTCCAGGTCGCAACCAACAAACATCCACTCCACCAGGGGAAGGCCCGCCAAGAAGGTCCACTCCATCATGTAGCACGCCAGGGAGCCCTTCGCCAGGGCGATCTTCACTGGGAGGGCCCCCGCCTCCAGGGAAAACTCGACGAACACCCACTCCCCCACACTCCGCCGGATAACTTTTCGCCGTCACGAACAGCACCACCCGGTCGCACTTCACAGACATCCCCTCCTCCAGGGACCAAGTCACCCAGAAGATCCGTGCCACAATGTAAAGCTCCTGGAAGTACGTCGCCCGGAAAATTTGGATCATCACTGTCACTATGCTCATGCATCATTACCTTCGCGATGCCACCTTGCCATCCATGGAGAAAAAAGCCATGTGCAACTGGCTTCTCGCAAATACCACACGAAGAGCCTCTATCACCAGAACGAAGAATCGGCTCAAGACCCCCGCCCCGCCAGCAATATGATGAGCACCAACTCCAGAAACGGCTCCCCGCGATGCGAAACAAATCCCTAAGGACATCCACGCCACCACCAGGCGGCACCGCAAACTCGGGTGCGTCTCGGTTCCCGGCAAACTCAAAAACTGAAGAAGGTCGGGTACGCCAGGGAGGGGCCACCACCACCTTCACATCGTCGAGACCGTTCACCTGCACCAGCGGAACGCCATGCGTCCGCACCGCATCCACTCCAGGGGTCGCTACGACCAGATCCATGCCATCGGTCATGCTCGTCAAGATCAGCACGTCAACGATGGTTATGACCACCTCCGCCACCAGGGTCAACGCCACCAGCTCCGTCATCGTTATCATCATCCACAGCAGGGGGACCAAACACCTGGGGTCCAGGCCGCGAAGATAGCAACAGAGTGATTGCATACCGTCGGTCCAAATGGTGGCGACCGCTACCCACGGCGAGGTGGATGCCAACGGGTTGAAGAAGATGATCGATCAGACCCAGGGCGGCGAGCTGAGGAAACGGCGGCGACTGCATGCTCGTATCGATGGTCGGTTTCACTTTGAAGCGCCCGTGCAGAGCAGCGCAGCCCGCAAAGAAGTGAACCCTGGCGCTCTGCAGGACCTGCCGCCGAATCCGTGCTGGGCGCGAGGCGACGACCATGGCGCGCGCCGGGAGGGTGGAGGAGAGCAGGAACAAACGAAAAGGGCGCAGGTGCGCCCCGAAAGCCACGGGGACGGGCAGGCGTCCGAGCCAGAGCGGCTGAGGAGAAGGAGGAGGAGGAGGAAGCGGAGGAAGAGGAGGACCAATGTAAACCCAAAATCCACCAACGATCTTGCAAGAAATCACTCCCTCCAGATTTCCTCCTCGTAGGCCCCTGCGCGGATACGGGAATTGCCCCAATGGAAGACAACCGCTTGAAAATCCGGAACTCTGCTAAAACGCCACGTCTGGGGCTTCAACGCCTCACATCACCGTGACTGTTGCGTCTTGACGATCCTTCAACACCGCGAATCAAGCTGACTGTTGACGTTCCGACATAATGACAACACACTGTTTCTGGGACGTTAACCATGCGAACCATTGAAACTGCCGCAAACTCTTCAGACGAATGCGCGCGGCGCAACGGCAGAACAACACATTGAAAATAAACCGCCCTCCATCCGTGAAATTATTGCAAAATGTTACGAAGAGTGTGTGCGGCGTTGTGCCCATAGTCACATGTTGAAAAAGGAACCGCCCTCCATCCGCGATACTCCTGCAGGCTTTTGAAACGAATGTACGCGGCGCGAATGCGAGAATCACAATTTGAAAAAGAGCCGCCAACCATCCGTTAAATCCTACGAAAAAAAGAAGGTGCGCATCGCTAAAGCGGGAACCACACTTTGAAAACGGACTGCCCTCCATCCGTGAAGCGAAGCTCTTGCAAATTTGGAAAGCGAAAGTGCGCGGCACTAGCGCGAGAGACACATTGTGAAAACGGCCGCTCTACATCCGCGAATCGATTGTGAATGCTATCAGGATCATGCGTCGCGACGAAATCTCAGGCGAAACGCCCGGCCCGCCCTGTCGACCAGCCTCGGGGTGCGACAGGGGGGAAACGTCTATAACAAAAAGGAATGGAGGAGGAGCAGGAAGAGGAGGAGGAGGAGGAGGAGGAGGAAGACAAGGAGGAGGAACCGTTGACAGGGCCAACGCCCACTAGAGGGCGACTCTTGTGCTTGGGGTTGCTGCTGCTGCCGCTGCGGGACGTGGAAGGGAGTGGAAGTGGCTGCGTCCCCGAAGGGGCCCGCGAAGGGCGCAGCTCAGCGCGTGCCGACTCATTGCTTCATGAACCACGTGACGACATTCTCGACTCTGGATGCCCACCAATCCCGGTCCAGTGCCTGCTTTGCCATGTCCAGGATCTTATGTCGTTATCTGCAATAAAACACCAGCCAGCACCTTCCCTCTTCATCCACCTTCTTCTCGACGGGCGTCGCGCGTGCCACGCGCAATATGCTACTGATTTTGTCCAGTCATAATCGCGCCATTCAGGAACTTTGCGCACCCAGGTTGCCATGCTCGTTCTGGCAGCGTGCCCTGCCCACAAACATTTCTCCCGGGCGTGTTCCTGGACCCTATCTCTTACTCCAGCCTCCCGCGCTCTCGCGCGAGCTTTCCATGTGGCACGTTGAAGCCACTCTATCCACGGCGCGTCGGGGGCGCGCTTGCAGCGCAGGATCCGCTGGAGCATGTTGCGCTGAACTGTTCGCAACCGCTGCAATTCCTCCACTCGCGGTGTCCGGGAATGCGACCCATAGAGTACTGCGCTGCCCACACTGGCGTCGAAGAGGCGCAGGCGATTGTTGACCGAGACATTCGCGTTGAGCACCAAGCGCTTCAACGCCCAGAACTTCCGCCACCAATTGCCACCCGGTGATCGATCCCAGGCGTCGTTGGGTCTGTGAGTGACATCGAAGCACCTAGCGCCTCCAGGCACTCCGACTCGTCTAATACATACACATAAATACTAGATTCCCCAGTAGCGCCCCCCCTCTTGTCCACGCCGGCATATTCGTCTGCGCTTTGCATTTGGTGATGTGTAAGCGCAGACCACGAAGCAGCAACAGACGTCGTACCTCGAACACCGTCCTCTTGAGGGACAACCAAAACCGCTCCACCAGAGTAACACCGTCTGCGAAGGCGACGTGGGCAAGCCGCTCGCCGTTCAATCCCCGCCCGACCTCTGCGCCGCATCCTCTTCGTTGCCACGTTGCCTGCGCTTCTGTCAATACCTGCGCCATCGCGAGGTTGAACGATGCCCGCGAAAGCGGGTCGCCCTGACGACAGTCGCGTTGAACTGGAACTCGGCGGCTCTTCACGCCTGGCCAAAGCTGCGCGCGCGCCTCCATGCCCCGGCATGCTTTCGCAGAACCCTCACGACAGAGACGCCAGTGTTGGAAAACAGAAGAGAATCGAACAACTCGTCGTGCTGCACCTTGTCAAACGCCTTCTCTACGTCTAGCGCCGTCAACCAAATATCTTCTCCCCACTCGGCAAAATTTCCCACCACCATGCGCAACGCGCGCGCCGCATCGTCGCAACCACGCCCAGTGCGGAAACCATATTGTTCCTCCAGAAGCCTGTTCTCCACCGCCGATTGTATACGAACAAATAGCACTGTGCCGAATGACTTTGCCATGACAGGTAAACTTGAAATCGGCCTGTAGTTCTTCAGTTCCGAGCGCTCCCCTTTCTTGAAAATCACTGACAGACGGGCAGTCTTCCATTCCAGTGGAGGCTCCATGCGCCCCGAAAGAATATCAGAAAAGTATCCAACAGTTTCTAGAAGTGCGGCATACCCTGTCCGTAGCATCTCGGACACCAGGCCGCCGCCTGCGCAAGTTCACCCTTTTTCTCATCTTGCGTAAGCTGGCTGCGAGCTCTTCTACGGTCACCGGGCGTACTATGCCATCGAGCTCCTGCTTTTCCAAATCCTCCGCGCGGGTGTCCTTGTACAGAGTCTCGTGAAAATGAGCGAATGCCTCAGCGACCCCTCCACTCTGTAACTCGCACCCCTTCGCTATCTGTGGCTGCTGTGATCCTCTCAGTGCCCGCATGTCTCTGCTGTACTATCTGCAGTGCTCGGATTCCTTTGCCCTTCTCTGCCAAGCTCTCTATTTCTCTTCCCTGTCGTAACCGTCGCTGTCGTCGCAACGCCCTCCAAAGCTTCTTCGATAGCTCACGCCTGGTTGCTGGGCACGTCGCCGCCCGCCTTTCGGAGAACAACTGTTGCACCTCCTCGGAATGAACCCGTGAAAGGTTGCTGTTGCAGGAACGACTTGTCCGCGCGGTCGTCACCACTAAAACGTTCACATCCGTAAGGTCGGAGTGTCCTTCGGAGAAGGCCTTCGTCAGCAAGTCATGGTAGCGGGTCGGAATTGCCGTCGTCATCCAGCTCTGGCGCCCACCCCCTCATTATTCTTTCCCTGACTGCTCTGTGTGGTGTTGTGTATCTGCATGCTACTTCAGCGACTATCGCCCTATGATCAGATTTGCCTTCCAACTGTCTCGAAACACCCACGTCGTGCACAAGCTCAGCGTGCGCAGAGTCGACTAGCAAGTAATCGATTTGACGCATTTCCCCAATGCTCCATAATTTGTGCGTCCATGTGTTATCCCAGTCCCGTTCAAACAGCCCTGCCGCTGAAACGCAACGAGCACCATGTAACCAATGTCTTCTTTGTCTTCTCAGGCACAGAGAGTCGCCCCCAGAAGCAGTAACTAAGACCTGGGACTGGGACCTTCCAGAACTAAGTCATATGATGAACACTGCCTGCGAAGGACATTGCAGACACATCGGCCTGACTGGCTCTAAACTCTGAGCTCCAAGAAGGGAGAGTGCCGCGGGTGATGAGCACCCGTAGGCTCGAGGAGCAGATTACATATGCCATGCACTGCATTATCAGTAGCCTCGAAGGTACCTCTGGAGACTGGGACGAGACTTTCCCTGACCAAGACCTGGACCTGGCA